ACACTGTAATGAACGAGATGACCTATATGATGTGTTCAGATTCGTTGTTTTCTTTCTTAAAGTCTACTTACTGGAATGGTTCCTCTTGGGCCGCAGAATACGTTTTGGAAGAAGTTACAAAGGCTGGATTTGTTGAACCTACACCAATTCAAGCTCAAGGATGGCCAATGGCTTTGAAGGGTCGTGATCTCATTGGTATTGCTGAAACAGGATCAGGGAAGACGCTAGCCTACCTGTTGCCTGCAATTGTCCATGTCAATGCCCAGCCAATTCTATGTATGGAATCGTTAAGACAATTAAGTTCTTGAATCTTCATTGATTTCTTCTTTTACATTTTAAATATGATTTGGTATTGGTCAGGCATAAGTTTTTAATTTTATAATATTTGTTTAGCTCCTGGAGATGGCCCAATAGTATTAGTTTTAGCTCCAACCCGTGAGCTCGCTGTTCAAATCCAACAAGAGGCTACTAAATTTGGTTCGTCTTCAAAAATTAAAAGCACATGCATATATGGCGGGGTTCCAAAGGGACCTCAAGTTCGTGATCTGCAGAGAGGTATGTGGCGAACTTAGTTTTACATGGTATTGCTGTTGTACTACTGTACCTTTTATGTATCATAGATTATGTACTTGATATCCTGTTATGGGCATTGATATCATGGCTAAGATGACTTATCACTCCATTTAGATGTAGGTGGTGAATAAAACAGCATTTCTCGTTTCAGTAATTTCTTATTCTTCCTGTTGATGTCATTCCTATTTCTGGATCAGGAGTTGAGATTGTAATTGCTACACCCGGGAGGTTGATTGATATGATAGAGTCGCATCATACCAACTTGCGAAGGGTCACATACCTTGTGTTGGATGAGGCTGATCGGATGCTAGACATGGGGTTTGACCCACAGATACGGAAAATTGTTTCTCAGGTTTGAGATTTTACATTTCTGTGTTAAAGTGACTTAGAATATATACCACTTTTATATGTGTACTACGAAGATTTATTACTTATTTTTGGCTCCCCTTTCCAAATCCTTTCTTTATTTATTTATAAAATCTCGTGTAGTTTTTGATACCCACCAATGTTAATTTGGACTTCTGATTTCTTTAAAAGCTGGAAAAAGATTAGTGAATCTTCAACTTGGCTCAGAAGAACTCTTGGGCAGTTATAATTCCAAAGTTATTACTCTTGGTTTGATTTCATAGAAAATAGATTCTAAACTTTGTAACCCAGGTAAGGCTTGTTTAGATAAAACATGTACTACCAGTTTGGAGCTCTAAGTACCTTGAGACAGTTGTGGGTCATTCGAAAGTTATCCTTACTAGAGATAGTGTAAGGATAGGGTATCCTTACCAAACATCTGTAAACAGGCTGCAAAGTTTTAGAATGTGAACGATAATGTGGGGTCAGTGTCTTGGTGAAAAGATATGGTGTGTGAAGATCAAAAAGTTTATGTATCTATGAGGTTAGATTCATATTTACTTTTAATATTTTGATTGCTTTTTCTCGGCTAAACCAATATGCAGTCCTTGAGAAGAGAATTGTACCATTTGCACTTTGCTCTTGCTCAATAATGAATTTGATTCTTCTGAGACCCTGTGGTATCTTGATGTAAGTACAGATAAGTCAAGTCAAACTAGGTAGGTCAAATCACTCTGCATAAAGCTGCATCCTTAATCGTCTATAGAAATGAGCAAATATGAATTTTTCTTGTCTCTCTCTCTCTCTCTCGCATAGTTTACGTTTAGTTGAAATTTTCCATTGTTCTCTAATGTTTCATTTAATGCAGATTCGCCCAGACCGTCAAACATTATACTGGAGTGCTACCTGGCCAAAGGAGGTTGAACAACTGGCAAGGCAGTTCCTTTACAACCCATACAAAGTACTCTATCTTGCTTTTAGTATAGAAGTGCTCTTCATCTATTAGGACATAATCTTCAACTTTTTGCATCACTTTGTCATCTTCAATTATTGTTACTGCATGAAATTGGTAGTTATAAAATACCCTCTTTTCTTTCTATCATGTGATTGCAATAGTTCTGTTGGATGTATGTTCTTATGTATAATACTAATATGCCAATAATTAATTTACATCCTTTTGGATGTTGAACAGGTGATAATAGGTTCTCCAGATTTGAAAGCTAACCATGCGATCCGCCAAATTGTTGACATCATTACAGAAAATCAGAAATATAACAAGTAGGTTACAGTCTATGTTGTTATGGTTTCTAACTTTCATATGGTTAGTCTTGAGCTATTTTCTGCAGGTTATATATCTGATTTCTTTCAATTTAACAGACTGGTAAAGTTGCTTGAGGATATCATGGATGGCAGCAGAATACTGATATTCATGGATACTAAGAAAGGATGTGATCAGATCACTCGGCAGCTCCGCATGGATGGTTGGCCTGCTCTCTCAATTCATGGAGACAAAAGTCAAGCAGAAAGGGATTGGGTCCTCTCTGAGTTTAAAGCCGGCAAGAGCCCCATAATGACTGCAACAGATGTTGCTGCTCGTGGTCTAGGTATGGAAATAATTTCTTTTAAGTTTGTCAAAAGACTTGAAAGGAATTCTTGTTTTGTGTAAACTTAGGAAAATGTCAAACCCCCACCCCGGACACCATTTCATTTTGCTCTTTCCTATGTTTTATCTTTTATGGTTTTACGATATTTTATTTTTTTTGCACTTCTTTGTTATTTATTAATTTTTTATTTATCTATTGAAAGATGCTATTCTTCCCAACTAACAATTTCTATTTGTTTCCCATCTGGGATGAGACCCACTCCATGAAGAAGGTTACTATTTTCTGATTAATAAGGCTATTCATCCATATTTGAAGCATCTGTACCAAATTTTAGACTGTATCGAGTCCTTTCTGTTCTCATTGATCTGACCTATGAGGATGTTATCAACATGATTGTACTGAAACAAATATTTATTACACGTTAGTTTGTTTAAAACTATTACCATCCACGTTTGGTTGGATGGTAGGTTTCCATATGAAACCTATCCTTCCTCCTCTTAGGTTTTGGTGGTAATCATCTCTGCCCGTGAATAATTGTTTCCCTTTGAGCCAGGTAAGGTTTTGGCGTGCATCGGATTTGCCTTTGGGCTTTGGTAGGCAAAAACTGCTAACATTGGGGTGCATAGGTGTGTTAACCTAGCATAATTTCTTGAGTGTACTTAGCCTATGAATTGGTCTTCGACCTCATTTCTAATCTCTTTGTGTCGTGCTTGATTTGGTTGCAGATGTGAAGGATGTGAAATTTGTTATTAACTATGATTTTCCTGGATCCCTTGAGGATTATGTTCACCGCATTGGCCGAACTGGAAGAGCTGGGGCAAAAGGAACAGCATACACGTTTTTTACAGCTGCTAATGCTAGGTTCGCAAAGGAACTTATTGCCTTGCTCGAGGAAGCTGGACAGAAGGTCAGTCCTGAATTGGCAGCAATGGGCCGCGGTGCACCTCCTCCCCCTTCAGGTCAGTTAGTCTGGACGCTAGAGAAAACCTTTTTGGACACGTATGCACGTGCATTTGGGTGCATAAGAACTGTGGGTCAATGGTACAGAAATAGAATGGGGGATGCCTCTTTTCATATTTAGGTTACCCTGTCTTACCTTCTCCCTGTGTATTGGATAGTGTCTAGATAGGGTATTGGTGATAAATAAAGCAAAAATATATGGCGCTTCTACAAGGAAAAAAAAAAAGGAAAGAAAGAAAACATTTTCCAGTATGTTTTAGGTAGCATGAACTATGTTTTCTTTAATCTGTTTACTACAGTTTGTGATGAAATTTTAATTTTGGAATGATGGATGCATGTCTATTTTCCTTTGATGAGAGGTTAATTAAAGACTCCTAAAATTGTTTTCTGTTGTCACTTATAATTTATCAGGTCACGGCGGTTTTCGAGATCGCGGTCGGGGTTATGGTGGAGGTCGTCCGTGGAACTGATTCATGATGATCTTGGATACGGCAATGACATTGTATTCTGTTCAGAAAACAGGAAAAACTTGTATGAATACTGACTGACAAGGATGTAGGAGAACAAATATCTTATGTTCATTATTTAAAAAAGAAGAAGAATTTTAGAGTTTGTTCGTGACGTTTCTGGTTTTGTTTTTATCTTCTATGTATACATAAAGCCTTAAAGATAAAACATTCAAAATCTCACAGATTGTTATGGGGTTAATGAAAATACTAAAAAAGAAGACACTTTATTGTTACTAGTCTCTCTTCCGTGACTGAGAGAAGTTTTTTTTTATAAAAAAATTTAAATTTATTTTAGAATTGAAAAAGATAATGGGTAGTTGTATTCCATAAAAATAAGATTCATTATCTGATTTTTCTTTTAATTTTAATTTTTTAAATATGAAAAAAAGTGAATTTACCAAATTATTCCCATTTAATTAATAATTTCAATTCTTAATGTTTGCATTAACCCAGGGTATTTTTTGATATTTTGAATGTTTAACCATTTTTTGCCTTCTGCTTTATATATATAGATTAAGATTATTTTTTTTAGAACATTTCCTATTGAGAGGAGTGATAATATACTAAAGTCAAACACATTACACGGATGCTAGGATTCTAATCCAAGATCTTTTTGCAATGTGTTAAGTAAGAATAAAATAGTGTATTTACAATATGTTTAAATTGAAATAAATAAATCAATGGTGTGTTTGCACTTGAGGTCCTATGTTCGATTCCTTCTTCCCCTTTCCCTAATATTGCTTGTATTTAAAAAATATACATAAAAACTATAAGTTCTTTCATGTACTTTTCTTTTAAAAAATTATAAACTCAATCTTCTAAAAATGAAAAGAACACAAAAGTTCAATGGGCACACGCGAGACGAGACGAGAGAGAGAGAGGCTTGGGCCCAGGTTAAAAGGCTCATGTGGGCTTAAATTTCAAGTTGGGTTTGAGCTTAGACTAGAACTGAACCCCTTCATCAGCCTGGTCCGGCCCGGCCCGGCCCGTTAACCCGAGTTCAATGGTGGTAGGCTGTTGTATGGTCTAACAAGAAAGACTTTCGAGTGACGAAAGGAAATCAAGGCTTCCTGCAACAATGAGCGAAGATCCTAAGCTCTACACCAACAAACCCAAGAAAGGTAACAAAACCCAAGTTCCATACGAATCATTTTTGCTTTTTAAAATCAGAAACAGCTATTTCTCAACCACATGAAGAATCCTTTTTTGCTTTCAATAATTGGGGTTTTGGTATTTTAATCGCTTTCGTCTTGTGTTTTCAAAAACAGCACAGCTGAAACAGTTTCAAGATCAACATAAAGGGAAAGACTTTTCTTCACCACCACCATCATCATCGACAATGGCGACTCAATCTCCATCTCCGCCACCTCAGCCCCCAAAGGAGTCATTTGCTCGGCGTTACAAGTTTCTTTGGCCTCTGCTCTTGACTGTCAATCTGGGCGTTGGAGGTCTTTCTTCCATTTCTCTTGTTATTAAGTTGTGTGAATAATTTGTTTTGGTTTTTCTACCAGCCTTTTGCAGTGATGTGTGTGCATATGTGTATAAAGTGAAAGAAAGTGAGAAAGCTGAAATGGGTTTTGAGATCATTGCTTGGAAACTCATTTTAATGCTTCTTAATGCTTTTCTTTATGGCGTCGTTTTTAAATAGTTGTCAATTAAGTGCTAATTCAGTTTGATTTTATTTGTTTGGTCATAATCCGAACGCAAATGTTCCACATAAAAGAAGAAAAGAAAACATTCTGAGTTAGTTTATGAGTTCTTGAGCACCTGTTTTAAGTTGGTTTTATAGGGACAATTTCTACTCATGGGTTCATTACAGTTGGTATAAGGGTAGGTTCCACCATGTGACTACACAGAGTCCACTGAAGGACAACCTGTGTACTAGATGATTAAATTGTATTGGTATTATGTATGGGAATAGTATTGTGATTGAATACCGCTGGATGAGTGAATCGGGCTAATATCAGTGATGGGCGAATGAGGATGTCTCGCAATATAAACTCTCATGCATTTTTTCTTGTAAGTCGGGTTTATAGGGGCAAGTTCTATCCTTGGGTCATTATAGATAAATTTCTTTAGTTTAAATTTAATTATCATATTCATCAAGAAGGAAAAGTCTGAATAATGTTTTTTTTTTGCGTTCCAAATTTGGCTTTAATAGAATATTTTTTTCTTAATGGGGAATTGAGGTTAGGTCTGAATTGGTTATGACATATAATTAAAATATTTTCTTCATTGTTGTTCCTATATGCTAAAAGTCATATGATGTTTGTACGAAGAGTGGTGATTTGTTATAGCTTAACATAAAGGGGAATGAAAGTTCAAAAGGCTTATCAGTGATGGGCGAATGAGGATGTCTCGCAATATAAACTCTCATGCATTTTTTCTTGTAAGTCGGGTTTATAGGGGCAAGTTCTATCCTTGGGTCATTATAGATAAATTTCTTTAGTTTAAATTTAATTATCATATTCATCAAGAAGGAAAAGTCTGAATAATGTTTTTTTTTGCGTTCCAAATTTGGCTTTAATATAATATTTTTTTCTTAATGGGGAATTGAGTGTGTCTGCTGAGTAGGACGTTAGGTCTGAATTGGTTATGATATGTAATTAAAATATTTTCTTCATTGTTGTTCCTATGTGCTAAAAGTCATATGATGTTTGTACGAAGAGTGGTGATTTGTTATAGCTTAACATAAAGGGGAATGAAAGTTCAAAAGGCTTTTCAAAAGTAGTTTGGATGTGTGAATCTGGCTGTGTGTGATGTGGGTAAACAATTATAAATCTCAAAAACATGTTTGGGAGTGTCCACTTGACATTGGTGATTGCTAATTACAATCAAAAGTGAGTTGTTATTCTGCTAATCATTTCTAGTTGATTAAAATAGATGGATTTTTGTTTTCCAAGCATCCTACTCCCTGTAAGATTATATAGTGATAAGGTGGAGGATGCTAGGCTGCACAGGCTATTTCTTGATCTGTTCCCCTACAAAACAGAAGAAAAAGCATAAAACAAAAACTATCAACCTTCAAGAGAGGATCTCTACATTTGTTCGAAGCTGCTTGTGAATTGTATCTGATGCAACTTGTCTCAGCATAAACTTGAAATAACTTGTGTGACTTTTAACTAACTTTTTCTTGAACTTTTCCTTCACATGTCTTACTACATGACAAGATGTAGTGAGTAAGGCAGTTTGTGGTTTACCTAGCATAAGCTCCTAGAAATTACTTCTTGATGTCGTGGTTATTATGTTAAACTCTCCACAGTTCCATTTTGTACAATTTTGTTAATGCTCAAAAGGGACTGTGCATGCTGGTGAAGGGCCAAGGTAGCGATTTGAGAAAATAGATGGTTGCCGTGTGGAGACAACACAGTGTGAAGGATGTTACTATGGCTGCAGTAGTAGTTGAACTTCATTTGTTGACTACAAAAACAGGGTCGATACTTGATACTCTGTAATAAGCTACCTGCACTCACTTTGGAGGGAAAGAAAAATTCACCATTATATTAATGATGTTGAACTTAATGGCCATTGTGTAACTAAGGATGCTGACGAGTAAAGTACAAGTGAGCAGAAACCATCTCTGTTAACTTGACCAGCATAGAATGTCTTCTTATTACATTGTATTCTCTGTGAACTTGAACAGGCTACTTATGCTTTCTCTGCTTCTGTTTGCGACTGATTAGGGATGATTTTTCTTTTAATTTTTTTAAAACTCTAAATAAGGCTTTCCTAATAGTCTGCTAAATGGGCACATAGATATTAACACTTGTGGGTATGGACATAGGATGTGTACCTGGCATAGTTGTTAATGGACATGTTCCAAACAAGCATTTTAGGATTGGTAGAGAGGAAGATACCTCACTAATCAAATAATTGCTGCAGTACCTTATTTGCTTCTTTGTTGGATGATTATATTAATGAGTGAATCACCTCTATCTTGAATTTGATTCTTGAAGTAGTTTTTATGGATTTTAATTTACTTGTAATTGGACACTGAGGTTTACACTTACTTTTGTAGCTTACCTGTTCATGCGGACGAAAAAGAAAGACACAGATGTAGAGGAAGAAGTAACTACTACAGTTTCGACAACAACTCAAACAACTCCTACTACTACAGAGAAACCCCTGCCCCTTTCAGCCATCACAGAGCCTGTGAAATTGCGAGAACCAATCCCAGAGGATCAACAGCGCGAACTTTTCAAGTGGATACTGGAAGAGAAAAGAAAGGTTAAGCCAAAAGACCCTGAAGAGAAGAAGCGCATTGATGAGGAGAAAGCCATTCTTAAACAGTTTATCCGGGCAAAATCTCTTCCAAGAATCTAACTCTACTAACAGGAAAAAGCCATTTCTCCTCATTCTATTGATATCCTGTATTTCCTTTTGATTGTCTCTATCTCTATAGCGGATTGTGTCTGCACAAATTTAGTCATCATTGTCAATTGAAGGAAGTTCTGAAATTCATCGTTGTTCCATATCATACAAGTATATTGTTCATTTTGAATCAGTGAATATGTGGTGCTTTGGACCTGGAATAAGTATGTTGGTCTTGTCAATTTTTTATACACATCAGTGTGAGGTCTGGCTGAGACTCAAGTTTGCAAGTGCAAACGTGGGCCAACAAACCTGAGGAAACGTTCACATGATCTAAAGCAGGAAAGGACAATGAAGAAGCCTTTCCACCCATACTTTAACTATGAAGAAAGTGATTTTGTTATTTTTTATTTCCTAAAGATAACAAAATTTACAGAAAGTCCTAACCTAAGTATAAGACATGAACAAAACCTCAGATCGAGACTAAAGAAAGTTTCCTCGTCAAGTTTGATTATTATACTTTTCCATTCCTTTCTGACTATGAAATTTTGGAATGGTGACAAATACCATGGCTCTTTCCATGTTCTAATTGTTTGTCTCTGCTATCTGCTGCTTACTAGCATTTCCATTTGAACAAAAGATAATTAATTTTCATTTGGTGTCCACGTGCAAGAATTGGATGTTCTTCACCTATTTATTTTATTTTATATGAGGCGATAGTGACAAATGGGGAAATCGAACACAAGATCATGGTGTAAATATTCTTAATCACCCGAGTTATAAGTGCCTTGTCATATTTTTCAACAAGAAAATCTACAGTAAGATCACGAGATAAATACTATTAATCACTTGAGCTACAACTCTCTCACCATATATATTCTTCGACTATTTAAGTCGCCTAATGAAAGCTTATGCACACTTTCCAAAAAGGACATGGACAACCAATACGTGCATATTGAGAGAGTTCCCACAAGATGCTCAAAGACATAGACTATTGCACAGTATATAATATATGCTCCAAAGATCCCTAAACCCCATGGATAAACAAATATATCCAACATATTCTCTTGGATTCTGAAAGATATAGTGGGAAATTAACAAATGGAGCCGATTAAGAGCCGAACAATTTGATCAAATGATGAAATGTGGCTAAAGTACTTAGCTTACCTATAAAATGATGATAGGTGATTAAAATATTAGATAAATAATATAATCATAAGTTAGGTAGTTTGAACAAGGAAATAAAGCAAGTCTGCATAAAGAACATGGGCAACAAGAAATGGGCCATTAATGGAATTGGATATTATTAGGAAACAGTCCAAGTGAGATTTTGAAAAAGCTAAAGCCTAAAAGGATGCTGATACAGAATAATGCTCTTTCTCTCAGCTCCAAATTCTAAACCTAAAGAAGAAAATTAACAATTTGTAAACCTTTCCGCATGCAGTTGGGAAACAAGTTAGAAAAGAAAAGAAAGAAAAACTCCCGCCCAAAAAATTCTTTGTGGGAAGAGATGATTGAATTTGTGTTCTCCTGCCTATAGGTGGTAGGGGTCGAGTTATCGATGTGAGATGGATCCAGAAAAAGTATTCAAACTTTGGGACCTCAAATAAAGAGCTAAACCAAGAACTAATGTTTACTCATTACAAGAAATAGATAACATTGCCCATATTGGTAGGGGCTCAGCCCCAAAGACACGTGTCGTTGATGAAGCCCTCATGAAGGACGAGCCTCAAGAGCTGCCTAACTTATAATTTCTACCAAACAGTGAGTACAATAATTTGCATACGATTGCAATATGCGACCCGGTATTATAAGAGTGTTCCTTGAATATCTTTCTATAATAGAGAGTATTTTTGGTGAAGAGAGGGAAAAGTACATGTGCCCTCAAGCCCTCCACCATAAAAAATGAGAAAGGATGGGAATGAATGTGACACGAGAGGTTGGCCTAGCTTGTAGAGAGAGAGAGAGAGAAGGACAAAAGGGAAGGGGATGATGATGGAGTGTGGTTGGACTTAATTAAGTCTCACATGAACGCACGAGGCCACCCAGCTGAGCCTCTGCCAATGGGGGGCCTTCTCAATCCGCAAGATGATCAATCATGAGCCTGTGGGGGCTTCTCCCAATTTATATATCTGTATATTTAACAAACTTATCATATTGCTCATGAAAGAATTTGAAGTTCTTTCTGCAACTTATCATTAAAAAGAAAAAAAAGGGAAAGCAGAAGAGAAAGTTCTTTTGTACTGAAATCCATCACAACTTGGTAAGAACACATGTAGTATATATTATATACATGTGCAGTATCATTCACAGCCTAACTTTTAGTTTAATGATATTAGTTTAATAATGCTTCTCTTCTGAATATTGAATATTGGAAGATGTTCAAAGTTGAATTTCATCACTAATTTTTTTTTTTCTAAAAGCAAAAGTTTAATATTGCCTTAGTGCATGAATTAGTTGTAGGTATGGAGATTCTACTACCAAACCTATAAATGTCTGCTTGGTGTTGAACTGTTAAAATAAATATAAAATCAATACTTGTTAGCCATACTGTTGGGCTCATTAGTCAAGCCAACATATAAAGTTGGCTTGTCAAAGAGTTTTACACTAGGTAAGTAAGTTTTGATTTCTCGGTCACCATCATGAATGAAAATTCGTGACGATTGGTGATCATTCATTTTTATAATTAAATGGTGACCAAGAAATAAAAACTCCGAAAACCATATCCGCTCGGCGATAACTTTAAGTAGGAAGCTAAATTTTCGAACTTTATACCCTATATAAGCTGCCAAAACAAATCTATCTATAGCTTAGATTATGCATCTCCCGATACAATTATTCTTTGGTTAAACATTCTATCTCTCTCTCTCTCTCTCTCTTCCCACACGCGTGCATTTTGTACATGCACATTCATTCTTCAGTCACCAAAATCTCCTCATTGCAACCATGATTAAGAATAATATTATTTAAGGGGGTGCAGACTGCAAAGCTAAAGCTAAGCTTATATATAGAGAAAGAGCGCTACATACATTCGTGTGGGGAAATTTCCAAAATGGACAATTTGGTGATTGTATTAATATTGGCAGCAACAACAACAGCAATTTCGATCTTGTCCATTGTATTTCTCTACAGAAACAACAGCAACTTGATCCTGAGGTCAAAACACAGAAGGAGGCCACTTCCCTTAGGCACTCTTGGATGGCCATTTCTTGGTGAAACCATTGAGTTTGTGTCTTGTGCTTACTCTGACTGCCCTGAGAGCTTCATGGACAAACGCCGCCACTTGTAAGTACATTAACACACATAAAGTTAATTAGTAAAAGCAGCAACTTATTAACATGAATAATACAACATGTATTACTTTCATCTAAACCAGAGAGCAGAGCACACTATATAACTCTGTTTTTGCATGAGTGATTTCCATGTATTAACTTGTGATTAAGATTGAAGAATCAAAATGCTTTGTTGGGTTTGTGTGTTGTACATCAAACAACAAACCCAATAAGCATTCTTCAGTTTTAATGATTTAGCTGATTTACTTCATTAAGCTCCAATGGTTTGGTAGCTGAAAACTTGTAACTCCAACGTATATTTTGATGATGATGAAGATAGAGGCATGTTTGTGAGAATTATGATTTCGGGTGTTTGTGTAGGTATGGGAAGGTGTTCAAGTCACACATATTTGGAAGTCCAACAATTGTATCAACAGATGCAGAAGTGAGTAAGTTTGTTCTGCAAAGTGATGCAAAGGCTTTTGTGCCATCTTACCCAAAATCTCTCACTGAGTTGATGGGAAAGTCCTCTATATTGCTTATCAATGGAGCCTTGCAGAGAAGAGTCCATGGACTCATAGGAGCCTTCTTTAAGTCTCCACATCTCAAAGCTCAAATCACCACAGACATGCAGAAGTATGTCCAACAATCAATGGCAAATTGGAGAGATGATCGTCCCATTTACATACAAGATGAAACGAAAAATGTTAGCTCTCTCTCTCTCTCTCTCTCTCTCTTTCTCTCTCTTCTTCCGAGGTCTAGGGGAGAGAATTTTATCTATGAAGTTTGAGATGGTTTGATTCATATCTAAGTTTAAGATGACTTTTTGAGAAGAGTTCCAATCCAATAGACAGAAGACCAAAACCAAAGATGCCCTCTCTCTTGGATCTATCTCTGGCTTCTTCTCTTCTATTTAAAATTGTTTTACAATAAAGTAAGTGCTCCATTAAGCACTTGGTTAAAGTTAAACAAGTCTCTCTTGTGATCAAAGGAATGATTGATGTTTGAATTTAATCTCTGGCTCCTACTTAGGTTAGAAGAATATGACTTGCTAGAAAGAAAACAAACCAGTTGTGAATGGGGTTCATAATAATTCTGCTTCAATCATATTGTCTGCAGAATTAGATTCACAATTATTATGTTTTACAGTCCTTTTTAAAAGAAAGTTACTAAGAGATGTCCTTTTTGTCTCCAGATTGCATTCCAAGTACTTGTCAAGGCATTGATTAGTTTGGATCCTGGTGCAGACATGGAGTTCCTAAAGAAACAGTTCCAAGAATTCATTGCTGGCCTCATGTCTCTACCCATAAACATTCCTGGAAGCAGACTTTACAGATCATTACAGGCAAGTTAACCAGCAACTACTAATTTAACTTTTTTTACTTTATAAGGGAAATGTTTCCTTTCCAAAGTGACTCAACGAGATAAGATGCTTATATTGTCATACTATGAATCTGAACCATCAATTAAGTTAGTTCTTGTCTGATTATGTGATTTGGATTGACATTTTGACAACGTACGCAATTTACTGTACTTTATTATAATATTATTGTAATGATAGTTTGAATCCTATTTAATTTCAGGCAAAGAAGAAAATGATCCAGCTTGTGCAGAAAATTATACAAGCTAGAAAAAAAGAGATTAGTAGCATCTCCAACGAGGTTGCCAGAGATGTGGTAGATGTATTGCTAAGTGACACAAGTGGGCAATTGACAGATGATCTGATAGCAGATAACATGATTGATATGATGATACCAGGGGAGGATTCAGTCCCAGTTCTTATGACTCTTGCAATCAAATACCTCTCAGATTCCCCCACTGCTCTTCAACAGTTAACAGTATGTGCACAAATTTATTATTTATTTATTTATTTTGGTAAATAACAAAAAAAGAAAAAGAAATTGGTACTTAATCACCATAACTTATTTTGGTTGATCAGCCGCATGGATACTATTAATTAAACAATCCCACTTCACTTTTTTCTCTCTAGACTATGTACTTTTTGGAACTTTGTGGCATTCAAGTCCAACCATTTGACTACTTTATCTGTCCCATTTTCATTTTGCTTGTCGTTTTAGTGAGACTGCTCTTTCACTTGTGGCTGTCATAGTAATACGGTTTCTAGGGGCAAGTGGGATTGGGTTCCACAATATACAAGGTGTCTTCATCATCATGATATTAAGGAGCACATATTACAAGAACAGTAGAGATATATATATGTTTTTTATAAATGTTTTAGTCTTCTACTGCATAAAAATTTATTTGTAACGGAGATAACAACTAATAACACAATGATAGGAGATAACAACTAATAACACAATGATACGTGGAAAAGTTATCTTATATGTCAATGCGTTATTGTCTCTATACCTGTTGCATGAAAGTCTTTCTCCTGCTACTGGATGCATACTGGAATAGTTTAAAATTTTCCAGCCTTCCTGCAAAAAGAAAAAAAAAACCAATATTGTTTTGATGATCGATGTTGGATATGTTGGTTTCTTAATGCCTATGGCCTTTCTAATATTTGAACTCTGGATGATGAACTGATCAGGAAGAGAACATGAAGTTAAAAACACTCAAAGATCAGCTTGGAGAGCCATTGTGTTGGAGTGATTACTTATCCTTACCATTTACACAAAATGTAAGTCAGTACAACACTAATTAACTGGAAATGCAGGGCTTATTTAGAACCAGAAATAAACAATTAATACTCATAAGAATCTATGTATGTTCTTTATACTTTTTCAAATTAAACAGGTGATTACAGAAACTCTAAGGATGGGAAACATCATCATTGGGGTGATGAGGAAGGCCATGAAAGATGTTGAGATAAAAGGGTATCTAATACCAAAGGGCTGGTGTGTCTTCACATATTTTAGATCAGTTCATCTGGATGAGAACAACTATGATTGGCCTTATGCCTTCAATCCATGGAGGTGGCAAGTAAGAATGATCTTATATATGATATTTTTGGTGCTTCTTAATTGGTTTCTTAAGCTCTCTTTTTTTTCTTCTATCTTTAGTTTTTAAGTAATGGATTGGAGGTATACTCTGCAGGACAAAGACATGAGCAGCTCTAACTTCACTCCTTTTGGAGGTGGACAAAGGCTGTGTCCTGGGCTTGACTTAGCTAGGCTGGAAGCCTCCATCTTTTTACACCACTTTGTCACTCAATTCAGGTAAATAGATATGAATATTTTGATCTCCCTCAGGCCATAATTTATCTAAAAAACAATGGATAATTAGTTTAGAGTACTGCACACAGACACATTCAGTAAAAGGTCCTTCACAGATAGTGTGCCCATAAATTGCAAAACCAAAAAAGTTAACTTAGGGAGAAGACAAAAGGATATGGATGCAGATACATGCCTTCATGTTAGTTCCATTTTCATGACAAGCATTTGACCAGAAAGCTTGCACATCAATTAATGAAACTTTTTCTCTGTCTCTCTGGTTTTGTTCTTTTTTTGTTTGGCAAAGCCAAATAAAGAAGAATGTCCTTTATTGCTGTTGACTTGCATGTATATAACTTTATGGGATTTCATCAAACCAGCAAACATTTATGCTTTTTAGGAGAAACTGAACAAAATTCCTTTTAAAAGTTGTCCAGCATTTATTCCTCATTTTTTGCCATATGAGCAAAGACAACAATATAGCACACATCAAACTTTCTGGCATTTTCGCTGATCAGTAGCTTTTACAACACATGCACCTTTTTTCGTACTTACTTCCAACCATGCTCTGTTACTATTGCTAATTGCTATATATACACACATATATATAATTATTCTCCTATGTCAACATCAACACGATATTATCGTACGAATGATATTGTAAATAGGAAGGAAAGTAGGGAGGGATAGTAAAAAATACATGGCATCTGCATATGAGAAAAATATATGATCAGTGAATTGAGATTATTCCAAGCCTGCTTTGCTATCAGCCAAATGTGATTGGCTCCACCAATTTACCCAGATGGGTTTCCATGTGTGGGCAAAGAGAAGGCCAAAAAAACAAAGTCTTCATGAAGTAGATCATTTTGGACTTAACTCAACTATTAGAAGAAGTACCTTATATAAATGATGTGTAATATGATAACAGAGAGAGTGGCAGATACCCAAATTCTGAGGGAACAAATGGTGTTCCCTAGACCTAACCCAACTATATATTAGTACACGTGATTCACGACTGACTGATTTTGAATCACTCAATTTTAGGTCACCTCTCCCCATGCATAACTTATCAAATTCATCAATGTCATACTATACTTCTAAATGCATGTTAGGGTTTTAGTAAGGAGAAAAACTTAGTTGGAACAGGAATAATGGCCCGGAAATAACAAAACAGTAATATTTCCATTTCAATGCAAGTATTTCTCCTTAGCAGCCCAGATATCAAACACCTTCAATTCCATTGGATTTTGCAATATTTCTATACCAAATCAAATCAAACACCTTCCTTTAGCTGATTCAGTAAGCATGAAATAATAACAACAATCAACAATCAAGAAAGTGAAGATTAAACAAATGGTCAATAGGGCTAGATAGACAGATAGCATTCTGGATAATTTTAATAGAAAACCCCTGCATCAAGGTTTTGATTTTGATAGGCTTGCAGAAGCAAAAGAACCACTTTGATGTTAGTCCAAAACCTTGACTACTTTTTTGTTTTTTTACACTTTGCACAAATATTCCACAAGAAATTTGAGTAGTAAATTGGCTTCTTTTACATGCAGGTGGGTGGCTGAGGAGGACACAATTGTTAACTTTCCCACAGTAAGAATGAAGAGGAGGATGCCAATAAGGGTCAAAAGGAAAGGGGACCACTAGAGCCAGCCTCAAATTTGGCCAGAAAGTTTAGGTAATTTGTACACAGATGATACAAACCAACCAGACATGAAAAGACAACAAGAAAAAGTGTTTTTGGCCCCAGTGCGCACACGTGTGGTGCATCTGGCTCATTTTGTCTTATTTGATAGTTTATATTTATTGCACATATAGACAAATAAAATTATCCGACCAAGAAATTGACAAGTATATCATTTTTGTGGGCCCCCTAATTAAATCCTTTGGTTTTTCACATGTTCCTTTTTTTTTTTATACCGACCAAGTTCCATGTATAATCTATTGACACTCACTTGCTTTTATTGGTAGCAATCCCATCAAGGTGGAAAATTTTGAATCAATTTGAGTTATGAAAGTTATTATTTATGTGTTTGTGTTGTATTGTATTGTATGTAGTTGTTCTTGCACATCATGAATGTAAATGGAAGTCTATATCATAAACATACTAAAGCCATATCTTGTGATGTGAAGTCATTGATGATTTTTGACTATGAGAAAAAGTCTTTCTCCCTCCATTTATACACAGACACAAAGAAATAATTTTTTATGTGAAAAAAGGAAATTACAAGAGAATCGGACACATAGAAATATTAATACTTACCTTTGATAACAATCTAGAATTCAAGTTCGTCATTACATACGTATGTTTAGGAGAAAAATCATATAAAATAAGTTCATAAAAAGGGCCCTAAGTCACCTTTCTCAAGCATATATATACTTGTGTTAAATCCCCTCGGTTATCTTTATCACCACTCATCATGCTCGTCACAACCTATCATAAATATCAACAGCACTCTGTTCCTTTGAATAAATACCAAATTACGCCGAGTTTCACAAAACTATTCTACATTCTTAGAATCAGCAACTTTTCTTTGTGAAGCTTCAATTTTTGTTTCACATATGAATTGTACCACCAAATATATGAGAGAAGTGAATGCTCATCCTTTTGGGTAATGGAACACTCTTTGGTTCACTGCAATATCCTATAACTTATGCAAAGGCCATCTCCCCCCATCACAAACATGCGTGTGTAAAGAATGGATATGATTTTTAACCATCTGGACAAAATAATCTGCACAAGAAAGAGAAAATATAGCTTACTCGTGCCTAGCCTGATTTGCAAGATCTAGGGTTGCTTTCTTGATCATGTAGAAAGAGCAGGAAAAACAACAGTGATTGTTGTAATTCAAAACTACTCATCCTACTAGTTTATTGTTTTCCAATTCTCAAGAAAATTCAACAAAAATACAATAACATTTTTCTTCATAATGAATGAAGCCATGGAATTCAGCATTTTCATGGGAGAGCAGATCAAACATATTTTCAGGATTGCATCCTATTCAGTTGCTACCTTGTAGTTTAGAGGATGCATTCTTTAAGGCTTTCTTTTTATAGATAGGAATGAAGGATTGAAACTCGAGTGTAGAGTAGGAAGCAAATTCATTCTAGCCAATTTGGTTATGCCCATGTCGTTTTTTATTTTTTTCTAACTTACCCTTTTCCACTGAAGAAACAAAAAAAGCTCCAACCAAGAGAAGAAAAGCAAAAACGAACAAAATCTTTCACTTCTAAATTACTATCTTGGGCCAGAAGAAAGCCAGGCTTAATTTGTCAATGGGCTTATGCGATGCGGAGCCGACCTAATTTAATGGGCCGGTAGCCAAAAGTACGAAGTCGTTCGGAACAGTGTTAAATCGCCTGATGGGCAAAATCAAAGCTTTGAGAAAGCTGGCTTTGAATTTTCTGACCAAAATCATCTCAGGACCTCTAACGCAGAGCACGTAGAGGTTTTCATCGTCCAGAATTTCGATCAAACATAAGGTGCGGATTCTAGTTTGCCTTTTTTGCTTTTGTTTTCAGAAAAAAAACAGTTGTTGTTTATGGATGTTTAATTCTAAAAAATGAAAGAGAATTGAAATTAGGATCTTATTTGAATTGCTTTTAATTAATTCTGTGATTAATAATCGTCAGAACGGAGAGGAACTGAGAAAAGTACGTTTTGTTTTACCTTGAGAAGTCGAATTATTATTATAAACATGATATATCGGTATGCATGTTGGTATTTCTGGGTCTGAAGTAATGAGAAGCTTGAAATTTTCAAAACGTAGTTTTGTCTCCAATTTCCTTCAGTTTCTCGGAATCCAAACTGACGCATAAGGATTAATCGGATATGAGTGGCTTAATTAGTTGAAGAAAAGTTGGTTTATATATGGTTCACATTGACTGACCAATTGTGTGATTATCTAGAAAAGAATAAAGAAAATAAGAAGCACCGCCTAAGCTGTATAATTGATTTAATTTCAACTTGTACAAGCACTTCCATGTTGTTTAATTTTTTTAATAGAAAAAAAACTGAAGCATTTTGCACAAGCTTCCAATTGCTAGGGATAATGTTACTTTAGAGCATTATTTTAAGTAAATTACAGATTTATCGCTAACATACTCATTCTCTTTCCCCCTTTCTGTAGAGGTTATCTTTCCTGCAGTTTTGTGGGTGGTTTTCAGGATACCTTACAATGGCAGGGAGACATCGTGTTCCACGTGAAGCGATGAATGACCGGCGCGGCTACCCTCTTGAAGGACCTTTTGGTCGAGGTCCTCCAATGCGACCACTTCCTCATCCTGCAGTGTTGGAGGAAGAACTTGAAATGCAACATGCTGAAATTCGAAGACTCTTGGCAGATAATCGGAGGCTGGTTGAGGACCGAATGACATTGCAGCGTGAGCTTGGTGCTGCCAAGGAGGAAATTCATAGGATGAATGTTGCCTTTTCAGATATTCGTGCCGAAGAAGAATTGCAATCAAGGGAGCTCTTTGAGAAAGGCAGGAAATTGGAGGCTGATCTTCGGGCCACTGAGCCCTTGAAAAATGAGGCTAAACAACTTCGTTCTGAAGTTCAGAAGCTGACTAGTGTTAGGAAGGAACTTTCCACTCAAGTTCAGACCCTCACACAGGACCTTGTGAGGTTGCAATCTGATAATCAACAGATTCCTCTTCTAAGGGCTGATATTGATGGTCTGCACCAGGAGCTTATGCATGCTAGGTATGTACCCGCTGCTTATTTGTCGTCATTTTCTTGTCTTGAAGCTCCTTTTTAGTGTACAGATTTTATCAAGATTGTATTAGATCAACTGCTTATATATTAACGTACAAGTTTTGTTTTGTAGAAATGCAATCGATTATGAGAAGAAGGCGAATATTGAGCTTATGGAACAAAGACAGGCAATGGAGAAGAACCTAGTTTCTATGGCTCGTGAAGTTGAGAAACTACGCGCAGATCTTGCTAGGACAGATGGTAGACCATGGGGTGCAGGTATTACTTATCTGTCTGACTGTATTCTTTTGGCATTCATATCCTCCTTCTGGTACCTTTATTTAACCTTCATTTTGGTGCTGAAACTCCTCATTGGCTTTTGAAAAGATGAGATGTCATGTAAGCAGATATATGATAGACTGGTTAAACCTCTCTCTCTCTGATGCACACATGCAGACATAATCACATACACACGCACACGCCTCCAGGTGCACAGTAACACACAAGCATACTTAAAAACATACTCACATAGTGGTGAAACAATTATAGTTTGCTTCCCAAGTCCCAACATATACATTTTGTACTGCATTCTGATCTTATACACCTCTTTCTTCTACGGAAGTACTTGATTTCGTGTTTATTGATTCTTTAAGCTCTGTCTGGTTGTTAGATAGATAAATGTATTTCATCTTCCACAACCAGTTTTGGGAGTTGGGGTTGAGGTCTCATCTTTTTTAATTATCTAATACAGAAATGAACTGTTTATTATTTCTTTGCATGCCAATATTTAAATTTATTTTCCCTGTTGTCATGCAGTGGAGCACAAAAAAAAAAAAAAAGAGTTGTTTTGTTTAGGTTATGTTGTTACATTTGCTTTTAATCTTTTCATTCACATCTCATCATTTTCTTTTTTAAGGTGGACAATATGGGATGAATTTCAGCAGCCCAAAGGGAGCTTTTCCTGCTGCATATGGAGATGGCTATGGGATGCACTTGGTATGTTTGCTTATATAATTGGAAATTTGATTTGTTTCTTGTAATCAGTAGATTTCCATGTTAATTTTCTCTTTTCTCGGAAGTGTTCTGATTGTCTGTCTATTAGTTTTTCCCTTTTCTCTGAATGTTCTTTATGGTTATCTATTAGGGTGTTGCTGATAAAGGGCCTATGTATGGGCCGGGTCCAGCTTCATGGGGAGGACCTGAAAAGCCTCGCATGACTCGTCGTTGAAATCTGGATGATTGTGATTTCAATGACAGAGTATACATGCCACCTTTGGTTGCTCATCATCAGCATAGATGGTCAAGTCATCTATGTGTGCACGCCAGATCAGTAGCCATTTATTTTTCTGAATACATCGTTAGTCATCTTAAACTTATGTATATAGGGTTTTAATATCGCTTTTCTTGATTGCTAGACATTAATTCCCATGTCTGTGATAGTAGTATAATGTTTTGGAATTTTCTGTCTCTAATTTGCATCAGTTATATCTTATGTTGGTCATTTGACCATGTAACCTATAATGAGGATTGTTTTTTATTTGGAAATGTTCTCTTGATTATATTTTTCCTTTTCTTTTCATCGTGGGTAGAAGCAAACTTTAGAATGGTACGGTAACTTAGTATCCATTTATGAACTTGGCATTTTCTTATATCTATCAAGATGAACCCGTATTTCGGTAACTTGTGGGGAGGCTGGAGCATGTGTGATATGGAATTGAAGGGAAGCTATGTGATCATGGTCGATTGCATGAATTTAATGCAATCTGCATTTCTGTAAACGATGCAATTGTTGGAATCAAGTTGTTGTTTCATGATTTATGAACATAATGTGTTGGAGGATATATTGATATATGGTGTTCAATTTGTTGGGGATGCGGGTCCTTTTCTTCGAAATTCCCTTATGGTGGTTTTGGTTTCCGGGTATTGTTGGAGGTGGACCTGCTATTTCTTATGCATCATTTTATCTATGTGAGGATTTTATGCTTATATGGAGATTAGGAGTTAGGATGGCCATTTCGTTTCACAAAATTACAAGATTTCTTGTTGCTGTGATGAAATATACCGTGATATGAATTCTGATTTCCATATTGTCGAGACTAGCTAACAAGTAGCTTTTCTTGAATATTGGAAGGTTGAGGATGTAAGTGGAGCTTCCCAGAATAGGATGCTATTGGGTTTAGAAAATTGTGTACATGAAAGTATTTGCATAACTAGGAGTTGTGATATTCTTTTAGGTGGGTAGCTAGGGCCTAGGAAGTTGTAATGCTCTGGAAGTAAGTTTCAGGCCCTTTTTTTTTTCTTTCTTCTATTGGTAGGTTATTTGACTAGGAGTCATCTTAGATGGGATTCCATATGGTTTTCTATCTGCCACAGCTCCTTATTTGTGGCTGGTCTGGATAAGTGGTCTTTGGATAAGCACCAAAACTTTCTTTCCAAACATGGACGAACAGTTTGCTGGCATTAGAAGAATGGATTGTGGAAATGTTGCCAGCTTAGACCCTGATTGAAGTAGTTCAGCACTATGGGTTGTATCTGTTGTTTTTGTTCTTAATATTTATCTGCAGTGCATGGGACCCTTTATGATGTATTAAGTTTTAACCTATGGAGTGTGTACGAATTGGTGGTTTGTATAATTTCAAGTTTCCTGGGGATTGGTTGAATCTGTTTTATATTGAGAAGGTACTGTATCTCCAGTGTTGCTCCTTATGCTCAAAATAGCCAAGTTAGACTTCTTCAGTAGTTATCTATAATCCAATTTCATGAGTATCTCCAGTGTTGCTCCTTATGCTCTAAATAGCCAAGTTAGACTTCTACAGTAGTTATCTATAATCCAATTTCATGAGTGTGGTTGAGTGGATAATCGGGAGTTGTTATTTTAGCCTGGGCCATTTAGTCTATCAGAGGTGGAACTTTCTCCAAATAGCCAAGTTGAAGCTTTATATTCCTCTTTTGAACTTGTTTATTGAAAGTGAGTTGTAAAGTGTGTGCTTCTTCTCCAATATGAGGATTGGTAGGATTTTGCTTTATAATGGACGTGATGGCAGGGTGGAGGTAAGATAGATTATATTCAGATAAAAGGGGATGGAAGTTTACGGACTAGGAATGTTCTTGTAGCTATCCAGCATAGTTTGAAAAACGATGGGATTTGTCAGTAATGCAATTCGCTGCTTCTCACGTCTTCGTGAGTAGTTTCTTGTTCTTCATTTTGAGCTGTGGATCTGCAACTTCCTTCATCAAGATATTTCTAGCCACCCCCACAATATGACAAGTTGCTCCATGCTTTGAAATGACCCTGGAATATCTCAAGAAAGGACGGTGGCATGCCATTTGACAAGAGGCCAGCTACTGATTTGAACTTATAGGCAAGTATCCTGTCTCATTTTTATGGGTTTCATGGGTATGGAATCTTCTTTGTTTTTCCCTAGCTAGAAATAGTAGCTGATTTCTGTCTTGCATGCTTCCTCTTTAATATCCTTGACTTCTGGTTTATTGCTTTTATTTATAACTAATTTGTTTCTTCCATCTTGATTTTAACACTACCTTCAACTAATTTAATGTACACCATTTAGTGAATTAGTATTCCATTATAATGCCGAGCTTTCTTCCTTATCTTGTTTTTTTAAGGCTTATAGGATATTTAGTTTCAGATTGTACCCATAGATAAACCTCTCTAGTTGATTGTTTCCGTAAGAAAAAACCTTTAGCGGGTCATCTTAAAATTTCTACTGTTTGATTTACTGGAATAACTTGCGTTGGAAAAGTTGCTGAAACATCTCAAGGATGAGGTGAGATCTTGCTTCTACTCTCTTGAAAGGACTTGTTACCGCTTACCAGATAGAGATGCTTACACAAACTAATAAAACTGAGTCTGGTCGGGACGGAAATGGAGTATTTTTCTTGGTGGATTGGAGCAGCCTATGGGGCCACCTCATACTGATGAATATAGTTTGAGTTCGGAGACGGAGGATTTATCTTTGTTTGGATGATGTATATGGCAGTCCTTTTGTTATTCAATTAGATGGTCTTCATTGAGCTATCGTAGTTGTAGGAACTGATGTTTCTGAAGTTATCAGACAATGGTGCAAGTCTTTTGGAGATACAATTGCTGGCTACAGAAATTTAGTATGAAGCTATAGTCTCTATACTGCAATGATGATCAATCTCATAGCTTGGAGCTGGATATCAAAGATAGGAGAAGATTTGATAAATTTGTTTCTACATGCAGCCACATGAGCATAGTCTTTGATTGTCGAATGAGATTGCTGAATGAGAAAACTTAAGATGGCTATGCCTCCCAACATCAGATAATAAATAAGTGAGAGAGAGTGCTTTCTGAATATAGACAGACCCAGTCCATTGGCACAGATGGATTGTTTTGTCGAGGATAACCTTTAAAACAAAAATAATAATGTTTGATCAAAAAGTTGTAGCTAAGTATGTTACTTGTATGGTCTAGTAGGAGCTAAGATAGAGTTTGACTGGATTTTGCAACTTCTTTTGAAATTATTATTAAGTTGCTGATTTCTTCATTGCTGTTTGCTTTCTGTAGACTGCTGTAACCTCTCCTTTAAGATGAACTATGATCAGTTGATTATGCATGCTTATCTTGGTTTACACTGAAGTTGATGATTTCTTGTATTTTTGGTCTGTATCACATTATCATTAGTTATCTTCAGTTGATGGTTTATCACATTAGTTACACAACTTACTTGTATGTTAATTACTGTTTTCACCTAATTTATCATTATTCTTTTGCTGCAGATGAAAGGATAGTAGTTGCGGACTGTCAAGTGAGAAATCAGGTTTGTCTCACATATTCGAAGTGAATGAAACAAATACTTAATGAGACCTGCTATCCGAGAGGAGAATAGAATCAAATGTGATTTATACGAGAGGTTTGTTTGACTTGGAGATTGGTGCAAGAAAATATCTTTAACCAATTGTAGAAATTGGTGATTATAGTAGAGTCTATGCAACCTATTAATTTTCTTGGAGGTTTAAGTTACCTGCAACGCGAATCCCAACCTGTAGATCTATCTCAATTTTAGCAGGTGAAGAAGTGGTTTGTCAAGATGTATCCTGCAGTTTGTCATTTCCGCTAGTGTGGGTATGTTGCCATCTCGTTTACGTGAGTCCAGATACACTTGCAAGGTAATTCGTAGGATGTTAAGCGTCTTTTGAAGAAGAAAAAAAATGCCATTCAACTGATTTTTTGACAATAGACAAATGAAGGAATAATGTCTCTTGTTGCAGCTTGTGAATTTGGATTTCACCTTCCTCTTACTGTACTGGTCGAATAGGAGATTGAATTGGCCGTATTTCGGGCATCGTATTTTCATACTCAATTTTGAAGTTTTAGGGCTTGTATTGTCACTTGTTGAATAGGAGATTGAATTGGCCGTTTTCCGGGCATCATATTTTCATGCTCAATTTAGAAGTTTTAGGGCTTGTATAGAATCAGTAACTTCAAATTGCTGTCAACGAGGGCATTGGTGGTGTTGCAGTATTGAGGCACCCTTGCACTTTGCTGCAAAACAATAAAATGATGGCAAGTGCTATTTTTCTCACATGTATTCATCTCATATAATGTTCACAATCTTTTTAATTGTCTTCCATTGCAAATTCACCAAGGACCCATTGGTTTTCTTCTGTATCATCAGTATTTGCTTCTCATTTCTCATTTTTCGAGTCTTAAATTAATTTATAAGGTTACACCATCCCCTCATTCAAACTTGAAGACAGGATTCTCATCTCTTTTTGCTTCATTTGAAAGTGCAAATAAAAGAATGAGCAAAAATTATTAAAATGTAACTTTCGTACGCACTAATAATTTATGTTCTTTTCAATTACTTTTTTATATATATATATATTTTTTGGGTCAAATGTTCTTTTCAATTACTGTACATAATTATAGTACTTGTTCTTGGTGAACTTAATTCGACCAGTCTGGGCCAGCCAGATCTAATTTTCAGGACACTGCAGAGTACTGGACTGGCCGAAGAATTGAAACTGATTTTGATGACGGAAAGGGACGTGGTGTGCTGCCATTTCCAAACGAGGTTCTTGATGAGGTTGAGGCTGGGGCTGCTTTTCACTTTCTCAATCCCAAGCCAGTTGAAGTGAGGGAACTTTCAAGGCAGTAAAAATCACAAGCCAGAAAATCCCACAACGCACCATATCATCTAACCTATGCCTCAGCATCCAAGCTTACTTTAGGAATAGCATTGCCAACATTAGTCTTCGACTTCGGTGTTGAAAATAAAGCTCGGGAAGACTGTCGTGATGTCCCTGGCATGTCGATAACAGAATTAGAATAGATTTAGAGAGGAAGAGAAAGAGAGATTCAATCATGACACTAAATAATAGGTTGATAGAAGCATTGAAAAATAGAAAGGAAATCTTAGGAAACTAATTTTATTTTTTATTTCTTTTGATAAGCAACTCTTAGAATGGCAGAGGAAGATTACTGAATGGTCATTGGAAGCAATGGTAAAACCTAAGAAGAATTAAAAGCAGAGGAATGGCAGTAAGCAAGTACTTTAAATGTTGAAGCGTCATGTTCTTTAGAAGTGTTGGGTGCTGAAGAGCAAAAGCTTTCCATTCGTCTTTGCTAATTTTATCATCCTTGTCAGAATCAGCATCTGCAAATGTCTGAGCAACGAAAGAGAACTTTGAGAGTGTAAAACTTCAGAATAAGGGAAACATACAGAAGAAGTTTTAGCATCGGTAATTCTTGCCTTATTGACGATCGCTTCCAGAGTTTCATCTGGCACATGTATGCCAGATTCCAACAAAGTGGCAACTACCATTTGCCTGACCTGAAAGCAACCACAGCTGTTACTTAGAAGTAATACAAGAGATGAAATAATCGTTTGAAAAATTACAATGAATCAAAGTGAAGACATTGCATCTTCCCAACTGCCTTCTTAGTCTTCTAATTTTGGTGTTTTTTTATATTTTTTTATTACTGTTGTTTTCAATGACTAAAGCATTCAGGCAAGAACTTGTTCATAGTCTGCAACACACCAAGATACTTACTTCTTCCCGCTCAATATATCCAGTTTGTCTCAAATCATACAACCTAAATGCGACTGCAAAAAACCCAAAAGAGAGAAGAAGAAAAAAGTCCTTTAACATGAAATGCCTCCAAACATTAAGCAGCTGAAGTTGGATTGTAGAATTCTTACAATCAATCTTGTCTTCAAGAGGAGCACATGGATGAAAAACACTAAGTGCATGGACAAACCCCTCGAATTCAATCACACCATTTTTCTTTTCGTCGAAAACATCAAACACCTAGATTCCATTCCGTCATAGATTGGAAGAAAAAACAGATTAATATGTTGGTTCAGATTCATGTTCGTTTTTCTTTATTTTTTGGTCGAAGTTCCAATTCATTGCAATCACCCAAAAGGGCAGAGAACATTACAAACAAAGCCGGACAAAAACGCCTGTCAAAAAACCAATAGGAAACAAACATGAACAAATTTAGCTAAAACCAGTACAGTTTAGCATGAAGATCATGTTCCATATATAGTCACCAATGTAATAGAACAGATTAATTTAAACTAGAGGGCTCAGAGTCACATTATGTAGATTTTAATTTATAAAAATTCATACAACTCTGCTATTGAAGCTAAATAATATCACTAATACATGCTCACATTGGCAATCCGAAAACCAATAGGAAACAAACATGAACAAATCTAGCTAAAACCAGTACAAGTACAGTATAGCATGAAGATCATGTTCCATATATAGTCACCAATGTAATAGAATAGATTAATTTAAACTAGAGGGCTCAGAGTCACATTATATAGATTTTAATTTATAAAAATTCATACAACTCTGCTATTGAAGCTAAATAATATCACTAATACATGCTCACATTGGCAATCCTAATTTCCTAAATCCCATTCAAGCAGTCAAGATGAACTGAATATCATATCAAATAGAGAGAGAGATTTACTTTTTCATCATTGGAATAAATAAATAAAAAATGGTCTCAATGAACTCACCCTATCCAGGAAAAGATTTTCACCTGCTGGAGTTTTGAATAGCGCCAACCTGAGCTCCTCCTGGAAATGAGAAATTAAAATGAAGTTAATAAATAAATAACCCAGAAGAAAAGAAATAAATTTCATGATCCATGTCAAAGAGATTAAAAAGATTTAAAAATGAAATAAACGAGGGCCCCAATACAAACACGTGCATAAATTGATTAACCTTGTGAATTAAGCCATCATCAAGAATCGAACTACTCAACTGGTTGAACAATTCGCGCAATGCTTCCACCTCATTTACAGTAACTGACAGTGAAAAGTAAAAAATTTAAAATAATAAAAAATTAATCGATTGAACAAAAAAACACATTTTTATTTATGAATGAAAGAAGAATTAGTAGAAAAACATGGAGAGCTGGCAGCAAGGCGAACGATGTCGTCGTAAGTGTAGGAGAAGCGCTGATGAGGCCGTTGTCGATCGAAGCAACCAAGTAAGCTGAAGATGAAAGCCTCAACGAGGCCAATCAGTGGTTTGAACACCGCGCACAGCTTCTCGCCTAGCATCAGCGAGCTCGAACTCTCCTTAATTATTCAAATCAACGTTACACAGTTATTCAGTCAAATTTTCTTCTTCACCGCTGTAGGTTTTCCACATTTGATCTCCTATTAAACTCAGCGTTTGCACGCATTCTAAGCTTTCGGGCTGCTTGAACAATTCTTTGGCACGGCCAGTGTGTTCATACCATAATGACATCCGGTACGCTTCAATGTCCCCTCCTGCTCTCATCATCGTCTTGTCGTCACCATTTTTCGACTGATAGCATCCTATTGCGATCTCGGTGTCTCGATGACCGTCCATCGATCTTTGGTTTATGTTTGCAGATCCTATGATAAGGTATGCATCGTCCACTAAAACAAAGTAGGCACCAAAAGAATGAGAAGTTACTTTAATAATAAAACCATCTAGATCACATGTTTAAATGTACCACAATGTTCTACTTTTAGCATTACTCTACTTTAATTGCCGAAAATGAAAATAAAAGAAGAAACGAGAATCCAAATCAAATAATAAGTAATAAATAATGCTACATCTACATGTACCATATTTATTGATCACATTACCGACTATATTTCTCACATAAGCAAGTATATATTTTTTTTAAACTGAACTTATTTATATTTGTTTTAAAACCAGTCGAATTAATTAAGTCTTCAATCATTAATAGTTTGGTTTAATATGAGTATTGAAATTTCATAAAAAAGAAAGTCAATATAATTAATTGTAAGAAGAAAATTTATGAAATAGAGAAGTCGAGAGAATACGAGAGAGAATGAACAATTATGAAATAAACACGAAATTATAATTTGTCGTACTATAATGGAAAAGTATGTTTGGCCATCCAAACTTTTAAGTACATGTGTGTGAGTGTGAGTAAATACCCCTCCCCTTCTTATTGTACGTGATTTATTAACATTTTGATTTCGTATATGTTAGTAAACACATAAAATATGTAATACTTTTAGTTTTAGTTTTATAGTTTATATTTTGTGCTCAATTTTGTCACATCATATCTTTCTATTTTTACTTTTTTGTGAGAACCTTTTCTATTGAGAGAGAAGCGATAGTATATTAAATTTACACATACTATATAAATGTTAAAACTCGAACCCAAAGCCTCATTTGAGGGAGCAGATGCTCTAAATAACTAGAGTCGTAGGTTTTTGCAATCATATCATATCTTTTTAATTATTGTACGTAAGTGCTAAGCTTTAGAAGGCCCCACATACTAATTAGAGGTTACAATTATTAACCAAAAAACGGAAGAGCATTGCTTTTGGGTTACATTGTAGATTTGCAATTTCCCATTGTTTGGCCAATTACAAATAGAGACGTGGCCAAGCTAGACTAGTGTAGTGGATATGGATCATATGGCCTATTCATGACTCAGCAATTTTGTATGCTCTCCATCCTCTCCGTCCTCTGAACCCGAAAAATAAAAATAAAAAATCCCCACAATTATTCAGAGGCTCGGGTCCACTATGTTTTTTGTTCTATAATCCATAACTCAAACCTATAAACTTGAGTTGGGTTCACATTCAAAACTTCATAACTCAACAAAATTGGGTTTCTAATCAGAGTAATTTTTTACTGTGATTGGGTGCACTTACAAATGTTTGTTGCTTTTTTTTGGAAAAAAAAAAAAAGAGTTCGGGTTGTGAAAAGCTGGTTCTTCTAATCACTTGTACAAAAAGTATAAACTTGTAACTATTATTTATTCTTAAAGGAGGTGGGGTGAGCAGAAGCAACAATTATTGACATATAAATATTTTTTTTTCTTATTTTTTGTAAAATAAAAAATAGCTAATATTCAAATATATAAAGTCAGAGTAATATTAATAATTAGTCAAAAAATGACTAATTAACTAGGTAGTAATTTTCCCTGCTTATGTAATGGAATTCTTATTTCTCGCCCAAAAAAAAAAAAAAAAAACTAGGTAGTAAACATTGGTGGTATCACTTTTGATCTCTTGCCCTTAACCACAGACTTTGTATCTGGGAAAAGACCACCACTACCCTCCGCAAGATCTTCAACATGACCTTCCTCTGTTACATTCAAGGGGTATGTCACAAGGTGAACACCTTCCATGTCGACCACTTCTTCACCGCTGTAGGTTTTCCACATTTGATCTCCTATTAAACTCAGCATTTGCACGCATTCTAAGCTTTCGGGCTGCTTGAACAATTCTTCGGCACGGCCAGTGTGTTCATACCATAATGACATCCGGTACGCTTCAATGTCCCCTCCTGCTCTCATCATCGTCTTGTCGTCACCATTTTTCGACTGATAGCATCCTATCGCGATCTCGGTGTCTCGATGACCGTCCATCGATCTTTGGTTTATGTTTGCAGATCCTATGATAAGGTATGCATCGTCCACTAAAACAAAGTAGGCACCAAAAGAATGAGAAGTTACTTTAATAATAAAACCATCTAGATCACATGTTTAAATGTACCACAATGTTCTACTTTTAGCATTACTCTACTTTAATTGCCGAAAATGAAAATAAAAGAAGAAACGAGAATCCAAATCAAATAATAAGTAATAAATAATGCTACATCTACATGTACCATATTTATTGATCACATTACCGACTATATTTCTCACATAAGCAAAAGGGCGAAATTTATCCACGAAAGTAGATTTCACTTATAGAAGATATGCGGTTAGCTCATAAATACAGTAAAAGTAATTTTATTGTTAAACAATTATTGAGATCCGCATACATACCTATCATGAGCTTGGAGTGGACATACACCATGAACCTCCTATGCTTCTGTGCATTCCAGTACTGTGTTGCAGGGTGAGGAGAATGTGGAGGAATAAAATCTCCTTGGCTCTCTACTTCTCTGTTGGCAAGGCAATAGAAGTTCAAATAGTCTCTAGGGTGCCCTTCAACCCCACTTTCTTTTATGGCTTCTCCAATCAACCTATACATCATTGACATTGTCTCTCTGGTCCAATGAAGTATGTCTTGAACAGATTCACTCTCAGGTAAGCCTTCTGGCCACATTGGTATCACTATGTACACTGCAAATCTCTCCTTTGCTTTTATCTTATTGACCACTTTGAGAGCAATCTCAATGGGGATCAAATTTCTGCAACCACAGTTCTGATCTTTCTCCCACAAACGGCACCCTCCAATGAAATACTGGTTCTCAATGTACAGAAACTTATCGGCACGCCTGATTGCCTCGACATAAGCTTCATGGATGCTTTGCTCCACGGTTAAGTTTCGAAACAGTTGGCTTGCTGAAACATGGTCTATTGATCTAAGAACTTGGACATTCCAACCCCTCTCAGATGTTGGTTTGCTTGCATAAGTCTGCTGAATGAGACTTGTTAAGGTGCTTGAAGGGACCAAGACAGAAGGATCACATTGCTTAGCCCACCGCTGCTCGAAATTCGTTAGTACATCCCAAGCAGCCTCACCGGTTACACAAGCGTGAGCATCGTGCCATGGAGTTCTTGGCCCTCCTTTCTGTAGGCTAGCCCCAGATATGTTGGTCTGGTAGAAATCAGAACAGTGAGATTCTGTGTTGAGTGTGTGAAATAATGAATGTTGCTCTGTGTCATAGCGCCCATCACAAAGATCTAGGCCCCCAATGAAGCTCATAATTTCTCTGTCACTTGCACTGGTGCTGGATTTGGTGTCCACAGTTATGGTTTTCTGATGGTGGGAGAAGATTGTGGGAAACTTCTTGTGCAATCTAGGGCACAATCTGCATACTACTTTGGTGTGTGCAAAGTAGTAAAATGCATCTTCATCATGAGTTCTCATTATTCCTTTGTTCTTGATAATTGGTAAGGATGTTTCATCATCCCAAAGCATTATTCTCACTGCCACACCTTCCTCAGCCTTCTGCTTTAGTAATTCACCGAGCTTCACTCCTCGCGCATGCGGGATGTCTGTTTGAGGATCCCTGACCTGCTTAAGAGCATATTAAGTTCCAAAAACAAAATTAGGAGTATTAATTTCTAGCTAGGAAATTGTGTTGCACTTCCATTTACCAGAACCATCTTAGGATTGAAAGACCAGCCTGCAATGTAAATCAAATTCTTTGCCCCCTCAATGGCTTTGTACACATCCTCCCATAGTCTTCTTGGAGTCCCACAAAGCTCCGAAGAAGGCTTGAAAGTTGAGCAATGGTGAGCATCCTGATAAAGCGTGACATGACTATTGGATCTTTGTGGAAATGTTGCATTCCTTAGCCCCTGGAATTGACCATTATCAGCAGTCATCTGTCCCCAAGTGGGTTCTAATTGTGCCGGCTTAAACCATAACATGAACCGGAGCTTGAGCTCTGGATTTGGCTTCCCATTTTCGATCACCAGAGGGAGGAAGCTGTTGACAAAACTTGCTTCATTCAGTATCTCATGTGCCTGCATTTGAAATTTTCCCAAGATGGAACATTTCGTTTTCATGGTAATGGTAATCGTCGAATCAGACGGATGAGCACAGAGGATTCGAAAGGTTTGGTTCCAAACACGGTCGCGTTCATGGGTTGTCCTTGCTACTTTCTTGTTGTCTATCTTGATGGTCACATATGCAGGCTTCCCAGTTCCAAAAATACACTGCAGAACAGAATTTCCACACAAGTTTTCGTTCCAACAAAAACCAAAATCTATAAGACAACAATCAAAATAAGCTACAAAATCAAATTTGGCTAATGCCATAATCTTAATTAGTACTTACATTGAAGGGGAAAGGTGGTGGTGTGTAGGGTGTGGCATGGAAAATGGTAGCTTCAAGTGTTCCATGTAGAAAGTCATGTACTTTTCGCTCCATAGCTTTAGCCTTCAAACAATCCGACCACAGAGAGAGGGAGAGAGAGATTGAGATGGGTCAATTAGGTAAGTTTTATTTTGCAATATAGAAGATGGAAAGGGAAACTTTGAATGCAAATGATAAGGTTGGCGGCAGTAGGAAAAACTTGTGAAACCTTCAATGTCCAGTCTTAGAGGCAACCTTCAACTCCATCACAAGTTTTTACGTCAAGTTGAAGTATCTTAAACTCAAACTAACACATTTCCTTTCTTGGGCCAAAAACCAGATT